ACATGAAAAACAAAAGTTTATGTTTTTGAATATATACAATAACAGTGTGATTATATTTAAAGGACAGCCCACACCACAGTTTGTAGGTTGACACACTGATATTATTTATCTCTTTTTTTCCTCCAAAATATACACTTCAGACTTAAAGTCCTTCTTTAGTTGGAGTGAATAGTACTGTAGAGTAAAAGTGTTTCTACTATGTTACATTATAAAAGTGATCAAATATATTTTTTTTAAAAAAAGAACAAGAGCTTACTCACATTATAGTATAGAACAAATGTCAAACAATGTTGTACATATTTCAGCAATTAAAACATCTTAAAAAAGTAAAATTAAAAAAGTATGCCCAATCATACTGGTATATATAACAATATAAAGCATTTGGTGACATGGCTTCCTATAACAAACATGATTTTGTAGTGAAATTAATCTCTCATTAAAAAAAAGTTCTGCAATATGGAATAAGAGGAAAAGACTATATTGTAAATTGGTTATGATCTGTGATTTGACACTTAAAGTTGCAAGTAAATAAAAATACCAGTATCCCTTGTACAACACAGCACTTCTGCAACATGGTTTTGCTCTAACACTGTTTGAGAATTTGAGACATTTTCCTTACAGAATTTCTCAACTTTTAAGTGGAAACTCCAATATTCGATATATTTTTTTTTTATTCAAGTAAGCATGTTTGTTGTCTCAGATTTGCTCACAGGTTTTAGAATATTGAAATTTTCTATTAATTTTATGCCTTTCATCAAGTTTACTTTAATGAAAACTGATAGTGCAATTTGTTTCTCCCTTGTCCTAGCTTTCTTATTAACCAGGTGTTGTCGTTGCTTTCAGACTTTAGCTCTTAAGACTGTCACTGTGTTTTCTTTTTATACATTAATTGTCATATTTTGTAAAGTTTATTAAACATTTTAGGTAAGTATCATTAAACTTTTTTAATCATAGGTAAGTAATCATTCATAAAAATAATGAACAAACATGATGATATCTCAGTACTCGAACTGTTCCCAACTTGAACAATTCAGTATTCGAATGCAAATTCTAGAAAATAAATTGCTTGGTCCTCGATTGAACAAACACGAACCACTAGAACAAATTGTCAATTGATAACATATTTTTATTTTTTCATATATAAAAGATTTTTATGGTAAAACTATAAAAAAAAATGAAGACATTGTTGATCTTTATCAAAAATATCAGCAAAAGTTCAGATGATGATGATAATTTGTAAACAGAAAACCCCTTTATTTAACTAAAATTAATATTAATGCATAATACAGTACTTTTAATTGTGATTGTTAGTAAATCATTGGTTATTAAAGCAATCAATAATTTATTTCCAAACATATTTCTCTAAGTAACGAAAGGAATAGTATATTTTTGTTAACTTTTGGAACCTAACTCCCTGTTTTATATTAGTCCTTTGTTTCATATAATACAGATTCTCATAATACGACACTTTTTTGGAATGTAATTACCTTGTTATACAAGGGATATATGTAGTTCTAAAATCCATTGACAGTTTTTTACTTCAATCACTAAAGATGTATAAATATTAAAACTATTCAATAAATAATATTCAGCAGCCTAACAAAATAATTGCACTAGATAAAATTATTGTATAAAAACTTTAAAAGTTAGGCTCTCAAATATATTTACTGTATAGTTTTAACATTTCTAATCTTTAGTTATTGAAATAAGGAATATAATAAAAATATTGATTTTCATTAAAATTACATCTACAGGCAGACATGCATGCATAGCCTTTATAAGTCACTTCTCTTCAAAATTTTTGTCAGTTTTTAAATAGTTCTTTAAGAGAGGAGTATATTACTGAAAATCTATTAGCTTTCAAAATACCACTGCCTAAATTTCAGCTATTAATGGTTCTGAACTGAAACTTATTCTGCCTGATATTAATCAATGTTGTTAGACATCTATTTGTTTAACATGAATTGAGCAAAACATAAAATATGAACAGGAGAGGCATGTATGCAAAATATGTGAGTTTTTGATGCCTTCAGAAGAAATCACTAGAACAAAGTAAGAAATCTTTAGAAAATGCAAAATTCTAAGTTTAGACAAAGGAGGAGTTGTCTGACGAAGTTCATAATTACGAGTTAAAATTGACAGATAATTCACTTCTGTTTTTTCAATTGACTTTTAAATACAGATAACTGGGTGTCTATTAGTTATGTGCCAGATTGTTAAAAATGTATATCTGCGGATACGGATCATTAGTGTCTAGATCTACGGATACAGATACGGATCTCAACTTTCGTACTCAGTTGGTGCTGGTGACCTTGGACCGATAGTTGACACTTTGCATTAGTAACGCAACATGTTTTGACTTGCACTGCGCGTATTTTGCTTATAGTTTAGTGTGAAATGGGATAGAATAGATTACGTTTGTATTTTTGAAGAGTGTTGAGTTAAATTAAAATAAAAACAATGTCAAGAAAAAAGTTTAGCAGTGTAATATGGAAATATTTTACAATAGTAAATGATTTTTGCATGATAAAATTTTTGCAATATGAATGTGCCAAATATGTGATTTTAAGAAATAAAAAGTGATTTGAATTGAAGTTATTAGTATTTTATTGCTACCTATCTTTAAAATTTCATATAAGTAATGAAATTCATTAAGATAAAAGATCCGTTAAAGATCCACTAAAAAGTAACGGATAAGGATCTTTTTTTTTTTCATCCGTATCCGTATCCGCACATCACTAGTGTCTACATAAAGCTACAGTAGTCTAAAAAATTTTAACAATTTTTTTAATTTATGAAGTACAGTAGAGCATTGAATATCCGAATCAATTGGGGACTGGGGTTGTTCGGAAAATCGATTTTTCGGATAACCAATTATGTATGAAAAAATATATTAACCTATCCCATGTTGAAATTCATTCAAATTCTGGCACATCCTTAAGTACCCTCTCATGGTCATGCCATGCTGCCAGCTAAAACATGCACACCAACAAAAATAATATTGGAGTAGCCCAAGACATAGCCAACAATTGCAGCACCACAGCACTAGCGGAAATTTAAATTAGCTGACTGGAAAGCTTTCAGTTAATTAACATTTCGGTTTATCGATATTCGGATAATCAATGCTCTACTGTATTTGTGCAATATATATTTTAAAAATTTTGAACTTTACTATCAATTTTAGATTAGGGTATTTATATAAATGTTTTAGTTAAATACTTACATATAACTACATTTTTATTTATAACAGATGATTTACTGTAACATGTTTTTATTTATAGAATTCAGTATTAATTTTTCTTTCTGTGAAAATTATTTGCATATATTTTTTGAACATTTACAGTAAGCATTTTCACTGAAAAACACAATTGTTTTTAACCAAGCCTGTGCACAGGATTTTTAAAAGGATGGGGTTTAAGAAAACATTATTTTTTCATAACATAGTTTATTGATTTTTATAATACAGGAACATAAATTAACACAATGCAGTAGATTAAGGAGGAACTGAATGAATAGGTATATAAGTTTTATATATATATATATATATGAAAGTTGAAAATCATTAAAAACAACTTTATTGATAGTACATCTATTGCTGAACCAGGAGATAACTAGACTATTAAATATATCTTAATTTTTTCAAATTTAAGAAACTGGAATTGAAGAACACTTATTTAATTGCCCATTACAATTGTGACAGGTTTATTAGCTACGAATAAATAATTTCTGTAATATCACAAAAAAAAATTATAATTTATATATTTAGACATTCATATAGTTAGATATTTAAAAATATATATGCAATAATACCCCAAGTTACGTAAGTAATGCAGACTGTAGACCTTTTACAGAAGTCAAATTTGTAAATTGCTTAAGTGTAACTATGTAATTAATAACTCAATACTGTATTTATTATTATATGTGTACTGTACATATATTATTTATTATTTTTTTTGTATAAAAGAACTGTTTACGAGAAAGAGTGTCTACTTGCATACAATATGCTTACAATTAGTCCGAAAAGTAAAGGATTAGCAGAGCAATAAAGTAATAAATCAGTACAGTGCAAGAGAGGGAGACAGAGAGAGAATGAATGAATGAATGTTTGAAATAAAATAATTCTTTGTAAAATTATGTGCTACTCTACTCAAATTCTTTTCCAAATTTTTGAGATTTACATTTTCCATAAGTCATGTGTAACATAACTTGGGGTATTACTATATTTTATTTGTCTGTAAATAAATAAATAACTAGTTTTGCTTAGATCAGTATTATTTAAGATAAAATAACTTGCTTACAAATTTTATATACCAATAGTGTTAGAATGTGGGCTTCCAATATGGCAATATGTTGACTTGTTAAGATTAAAACTGTAATCAGCTCTCAAAGCTGGTTATACTTGATCTAGCCAAATAATCTGGTTTTCACTAGTAACAAAATAAAGTTTTGTAAATTTTTCTTTGGAATTTTGAAAATCTTTAATTTCTCTTAAAATCAAAAGGATCTATAGGCATTGCTTTCATGGTCTCTATTCTTTCATTTTGTTGTTATGAAATAAGTTCCAACTCAAAATTCATCATAATTTTGATANTAGCGGATTTTAAATATTACTTTTTAAAATTAAAAAATTCCATATATTAAGAGAGGAAAATTAATGTCATTGTTTACTTGCTTTAAATCTTTAATTAAGAAATGCACTTAATGAAATTTTTCAAAATATGCATTTATTATAAAATATATTTTGCTATATGGAACTGACTTTAACAAAAACATTATTCTGTGTCAAAATTAATTTAAAATAAACTGATTTTTTTATCTACCAATGTTTTTTTAACATATTATTTTTTGAAAAGTATTAAGATTTCAGATATATGAAATATATAGTTATAATTATTATATTGTAAAAGTAATATCGTGAGTAAGTAAAAGTTAAAATAAATTTTTTGTAAAAGATATTTTTTCCTAAACTTACATCTTACATCTAAGTTCTGTTATTGTAGGAAATGATATTGCGACGTAACATTGGTGAAGAAATGATCATTCCTACCTCCCCACCTGGTTCAAATACAGAGTTGCCACCAGCTAATACAACAACAACAGGCATGGATCCATTTTTGGGAGGCAATGACTTTCATGCTCGACAGGAGAGTGGTGACAGTGGTTTGGGTTTGGGCCCAAATTACAGCCTTCCTCACACTCCTGAAGATTTTCTCATGGAAGATAATGAAGATACAGGAAATAATGGTTAGAAATATGCAGATACTTATAATTTTTCTTTAAATTGTTAATCTCTCTTTCATTTTCATAGAGTATTAGTGTTGTCTTTGATCCTTAGCCAGAAACTTGTTTTTAGCATTTGATTTTTATTTACGTATTTTAGTAACTACAAGAGAAAATGTGTGTATATTTTTTCCTTGGTTTAAAATTTAAAGTTTTTGCAATGATAAATATTAAGTAATTCAGGAGCAGAAAATAATTTGTAAATTCTTGACTTAGTTAAAAACTTTTATACAGTAGACGCCCCCTATAACACAGTAGTTACGTTCCGTGTTTTATGAAATTCATGTTGTACGAGTCCTTAAATACATGAGCCAATCACAGCCCGGCACATTTGCAGTTTACGGACTACTGCTGTTTGAAAGGTTTTCTTCCATAAAATTAATCAATTCTAGACTAGTTTGACTCAACATTTGCAAAGCATGTATAATATTTTGGGAATAATCCATATAAACTATGCTATAAACAAAAAACATCGTGGAGTGGCGCATTGAATGGCAGGCGCGTGTTTCCTGATAAATTATTTTTCTGCAAAAAATTTGCTGAACTTTGGAGACATCATTAATATAGATATAATTTTTATGGCCATTAAATAATAAATGGTTTTTAGTAGGTCTGCTGCTCGTTTAAACTCAACAGTTTGTGCAATATCCACTATTGATCTAGATTCAACCAATCCTGTCGCGACATGAGTCAGTGATGACATTTTACCATATCATACAAGTCTCTTTTAGTGTGTTTATGCAAATATGATTGCAATTTTTTTGCTGTTATATACGAATCCATATCATATGTACCCGTTTTATAGGGGGGTCTACTGTATTTGAATTCAAGTCATTGCATTATTGAATTTTGAGAGTTGTAATTTCTGAACATTTTTTCATATTGAACAGAAATGTTATAATATTGTTAAAAATATACAGCTTATAACCCACTGCAGAAAATTACAAGAATGAAATAAACCTTCATATAACCCACCCTACCATATACCATTGAAAGTAAGATGCAAGAACCAATATGCAGCTTAGAAGTTTCAATTTCAAGCATTAAAATAGTGCTTTCTCTGTTCATTTCTGTTAACAAATCATTGTAGTAAACAATCAAACCCAAAATATTCTATAATAATCTTATTAATTTCCAGATTCTTTGGACTATAGTTTGGCTAACTATTAATAATTAGCCATCTACCTACTGTATTTTCCGGCATATAAGATGATCTTTTCACCCAGGAAAATCTTCTCAAAAGTCAGGGGTCGTCTTATAGAGCGAGTGCTGCAGTCAGCCGGGATGTCCAGGGTATGGATAGAGATAGAGCGGCGCTGTGTCCAGAAAAACATGCATCTTTCACCCGTCCAGCCTGCCCTTGTATGTATCCTATTACTGTACTTCTTTCTCTGCCTCTCAGATCTCACTCCTGAGGACTGCAGTGAAGCGGCGCAGGCGTGCATGTGCAAGATCTGAGAGGCAAAGAAGGAGGTACAGTAATAGGATACAAGGGTGGGCCATTATAAAAATGTCCAACAGTCAAAACCCCATCATGGCTTTACTAGCAAGAAGAAAGAAATACGAAGCTAGTTATAAACTTTGCCCTGGAACATAATAACTGCGCTGCTGCAAGACAATATGGAGTAACAGAGAAGATGGTTCGGGACTGGAAAACAAATGAAAAAGCATTAAAGAGTATGCCAAGGGATAAGTTTGCATTAAGAAGAGGCACTCCACATTGGCCAGAACTCGAAAAATATGTAGCACACATGGTGAATGAGCATCGCAAAAATGGTTATGTAGTGACATGAAATAAAATACATTTGTTTGCACTTCAGTAGGCCAAATCTAACCCAGATCAAAGCAACAAATTTAAGGCTACTGTATCCTGGTTACTAGATTCATGGCAAAGCATAACATGATACTGAGGCAAAGGACGAAAATTGCCCAAAAATTATGTGCAGATCTTGATAGCAAAGTAATTAGTTTCCATCGATACATAATATAACAGCGCACTAAACGTGGCTATGCATTAACTAGTATTGGAAATATGGATGAAACTCCAATGAATTTTGATATGGTTGGAAATAAAACTGTTCATCAAAAAGGTGAGAAAACAATTTTAATTAAAACAACAGGACACGAGAAGTCCAGTATTACAATGGTACTAGGATGCACAGCTGATGGCACCAAACTGAGACCAATGATTATCTTTAAACAAAAAACAATGCCAAAACTCAAGTTCCTTGTTGGTTGGTTTATACATGTGAATGAAAAAAGATGGATGGATGAAGAAGGGGTAAAGCTATGGCTTGATAAGGTATGGAGCAGGTGATCAGGTGGACTTATTCAAAAATGTAGTCTACTGATGTGGGATATGTTCAGGGCTCATTTAACTCCCAGCACCAAGCAAAGACTTGCAAGACTAAACACAGATGCGGCAGTTATTTCTGCAGGATTGACATCATTGGTACAGCCACTGGATGTGTGCCTAAACAAGCCATTTAAAGATCGCATTTGAGAACAGTGGAATGAATGGATGGTTAGCAGTGAAAAGTCATTCACAAAAGGAGGAAACATGCATGCTCCACAGTTAGATGTTTTGTGCCAGTTTGTCATAAAAGCCTGGAATGATATTGATGCAGAAACAGTAATCAAGTCTTTCATGAAGTGTCAAATTTATTAGATGGTATGGAGGACGACTATTTGTGGCAAGATGAAATGGAAGCCAAATCTGAGACCACATCATCTGATACAGAATTCGATCCATACAATGACTGCCTTACAAATTTTTGTGATACATTTGTCATTGATGTACTTATGATATCAGATGACGAACAGGAAGATTTTGAAGGCTTTTAAAGGAAAATTGTCATGATAGCAAAACCTGTAAAAATACTGTAGCTTGCAGTTATGATGGGTGTTGCTTACTTGCCACGGACTTTCAAGGCACTTGCTCTCTCTCTATTGTTCATTATCTTCCTTCTATCATCATCAGTTCCAGTTTGGTACTTAGAAAACAGACAGCATGGCAGCTTCCATGGGTTTATTGTCTTATCCTTCCTTTCAGTTTTAGAGTGAATTAGGAAAAGTTTAATCCACTTGCACTGTTTTATGTTTACATGCTTGATGACAAACAGCCTTATGTTTATAAGTGACAGTTTACTTGCTAAATACCTGCATGTCATAAGCATTTGAATTAAAATTACCATATTGAAATCAAATCGGATTTTTTTAAAATTTTTATTTGGTGTGCATTGGAAGATGGGTAGTCTTATACAGCAAGTATATCCCAAACTCTATATTTTAACTGTAAAAGTCAGGGGTCATCTTATACGCTGGAAAGTACGGTATATAAAAAAAATTATTTTATATAAGTAGATGGTTAGAGTACTATCTTATGCTAACATTATCTAATAATTATTATTTTGAATTAAATCTAATAAATGAAATCAAAACTAAAGATGAAATTTTTGCTTTATCTTTTAAAACCTGTAATATAAAATCCATTTCACATTAATTAAAAGATCATTTGTATAAAATTTAAAATATTAAATAACTTTCAATCTGAACACACAATAGCAAACACAATAACTTAGTGGTGTATACACACTAGTGTGTTGCTTGTGTATTGTATCAGTATTCAATCAAATTAACTTGTAATCAAATTAATGGCCAATGGTTAGCATAAGATAGCCTTAATAGGGAATTGGTTACTGACAAATATTGAAAAATTCATCATATGCTAAATCCCATACCACATGCAACAAAGCATCTTCAAATGCACATTGATGAACTGTTCCAGTTATGTAAATTATAAAATAAAAATGATAAATCATATTTATTTATTTTTACACTTAACTAATTTCCTTTGTCCAGTAATAATAGAAAAAATTAAACAGAAAATAATTTTATTGAGTTTATTTTATTATTAATTAATATTACTGGCCAATTGTATAGTGTGAATCAACTTTAACTTGTGATTGGAATTTAAAATCAGCATATAATCCACATCCAGTTTAAAATTATCTTTCAAACATTGTTTGAAAGATAATTAATGTATAATTGTGAAAAATGTATAAACAGGATTAAACTAGATATATCATAATTTCAGAATTATCTCTTCAAAATTATTTTCTGCATGGTACTTTAAGTTTGGTTTTATAATGGATAAAGTAAATGGAATATTATGTTTTTCATTTACAAGATTTCACACTTATACATCATATTTTTTGTACTCTGCGGCACTTTTTTTCTCACTTATATGTTGTTCTCTTTGAAGTGGAAAAATTTAAAGCAATTATTTTAAAAAAAAATGAAGAAGCAAATTATGTATTCACTTCAGATAAGTCCATTGACAGTGAATTGCCAGCAAATGCAATAAGCAAGTGAATAATACATAATGTGCAATGCTGTTACTGACAAATTTTCACTTTCCATGTTTTTGTAGTGAGAAGCAATTTTGCTAAATGAATAAAAATCAATCTCTGGTTTCTCATTTGCTCTCACTATTTGATGTCAATTTGAGCTAATCTTTAGAATAACTCTTCATTCTTTCATGTGACTGATGTTTCATTGGAAGGAAACATTTGATGTCATATACTGTACCAGTTTCTTGTTTTTCAATGGACTTGTTAACAATCTATTGAAAAACACAAAAAACACTAATTTTTCCAATTTTTTAAAAGTATATGATTTAATTTCATACTGTTTTACTTTCTCTTTTTCTTTTATATGTTATTCAAATGTATTATACTTGTAATAAATTGAAACTTCATTAAGAATGATATGTACAGTACAATATTAATTTGTGACAACTATATTCATTCTGAAATCAGTTCAAAAGTAGTTTCACTAGGACATTTTTCTCACTTATAAAATATTTTAACCAATTTCCCTGAAAAATATATAGAGTTTGATTGTATATGTATTTTAAAACTTACATATATGAACTGATCCAAATTTTATATTTATTTCTTTTGCATTAGAATACAGTTATATTATTGATTTCAGATACAGTACAGCAAAACAATGATTTAGGATTTGATAGTCTTCAAAGCTCAAATTTGGATCTTGGTACTGAAAATATGGATTCAGATGATTTAGTTCCAAGTTTGCAGGTAATAAAATATTATAAAGTTTCAACTTAATCAGTTCTGTAAAATGTGATATCAATATATTTTTTAAAATATTAATAATAATTAATTTTTCAGGAAGAATTAAATGCTGACATATTATCTGATGTTGAAGCATTGTTAGATTCACCAAATAAAGATAGTGTTTTGACATGGTTGTAAGGAGAAGAAAAAATTGCCGTTCACTGTTAGTGAGAACATCGTGTTTCTTCTAATTCAAAGAAAAGGAAAGGAAAAAGTTACAGATCATCGTCATGTTCCATTTTTAATAAAACTGTGCTCTTCATAATGGTGGCAGCCGAAATGACTTCTGGGAAATATTTAGTAAAGATTAACTTGTTAATTGTTACTTTCTCAGTGAAGTTCAAATATTTGTTAAAGCTACGATGAAGCTTGTGTGTTTATTGAAGAGTTGGAACAGTAATCATGTTAAGATTCCTTCTCGCTCATGGACATTAACACATACATTACTGTACTATAATGCAAATATGTGCACTTGCAAATGAATTTATATCCTGCTATTTGCATGTGCCTTGTTACTCATATTAATAATTCAAGTGCCTTGCATTATGGCCTTTCATTGTGCCTTTCTTCATTATTAAGAAAATGAGTTATATATCAAAGCTTAAAACATTCATGAAAAGTTATTGGTTTTATTTTATCAACTATACTGTTCAAGAATCATCTTTATATTCTTGTTGCATCTTTATTTTTTAAATTTGGGAAGCAGTGGTTTGCTATTTCATACATTTTCCAACAGTGCCTTGTTAGTATTTTCAGTGATAAATCTGCACCTGTTATTTTTTACAATGTAAAATATCAAATAATATTAAGAATACTGAATTACTTTTACTATTGTGTCATACATTAGCAGATTTAATTTAAATATAAATCTTGCAATGCCAAAATTAGCCCTCGACTCTCCAATTATCTCGCAAGTTATTACATAGTTGATTCAAAGCAAATGAAGCCCAAAAGCCGGTTCACTTAATAATGTCCTCTGATTTGTAGATTAGTGCCTTTTAATTATTTTAACAAAATTAATAATCAAAAGATATCAGCAATAAACTAGAGGGTATATTATAATCAGTGCCTTAAAAACTAACAAATTTTCAAAGTATATTGATTTTAATCAAATCATAAAATTTTTTTATCCTTTTGTTTAAAATATTGATTGCATATATTAAATCTCTTATCATAAATTTGTTTTGGATGCTCTTTTTTATTTTATACAAGCTTAGTCAATTTGGATGCATATTAGTTATTAGTTGGGACTTTCACACCAATTCATCACTATTTGTGATTTCTACGGGACCTTGAATAAAGATACTTAATTCTTTGTATCTGTCTACTCTTGAAGATTTTAATAAGGATTTTTTACATGAAAAAAGATGAATTTCACCTTCATTTAAAAAATGACCAAGCCTAATGAATTTCAGAACTTTTATTTATTTATTTTTTTTAAGCATTTTATCAGAAAGTTGTTTATTGTTAGATTTTATGTACAATTGCTCTTTTTCTCAATTTTGTAATGTTGAGTTGAAAAAAGAAGCAAGTTTGACATTACTTTTTATTATTATTATTGTGTGGCAGGTGGCTAATTCTGTGTAATGAAATTTATCCTAAATCCATTATTTGGTAGCTATTTTGCAATTGCATATTTGCAGACAGTTCAGTGTCTGCATTAAAACAGCACAAAAAAAAGGTGCTCTTTTTATTATAAATGGACATCACATAATCTCCATATTAAATAAAGAAATAATGTTTGAAAAATATTTATTTTTTAGTTAAAAAGCTTCTTCTTATTAATCAAGAATACAGAACTACTTTTCTGTTTTCTTGATTTTAATATTCTATTGTTAAATTGTATGCTTAAATGTACTGTACATTATAGCCACTAAATATATATATATATATATAAACTCTACATTTTAATTAAAAAATAATTGCTAAAAGAAGGCTGTAATTCAAAATGGTGACTATCCAATTCTTGTTAGATCCCCTCATTAGATTTTTACATATCATATTGAGATATTAATATGGGGATAATTGCAAGAGCCATGGAACTAGTCAACCAGTCTTCACTTTTATCAAATGAAATCTTTTTTTTTTGTTTGTTGATTCTGAAATTCTTTTGTAATAAAGGAAGGGCACTGTGGAAGTCATATTAGGAAGAATCAATTGTGTGAAGACACTCATTTGGATCTGAAACAAAGCCCATTCTGCTTTATTAAAAAGTGCACGATTTTCTAACATATGCATCACTTTTTATATGGTTTGAATCATATTGTTAATAGTTTTTACACAATTAAACTGCCGTCCAACATCAAGCCCGTTGTCAAATTTATGTACGGTTACACTTATTATGTGCATATAACTGTTAATACGTAAAGAATTTATTATATTAGCACATGTTATGTACACCATCCATTTATTTTTTTTTTTATACAATGTTCTATTCCAGTGCAATAGTACTGTATTTCTAGCAATCATGACAGTTATGTAACGAGCTTAGGGCTCTGCTAAATAAATGAAATTTTTGCCATGTAACAAGTCTCTTGAAATGAATATAACATATGTACAGATATTGGAGCACTTGTGCCAAAGCTGTGTGGTTGGAGGTACACACGTCTTTGGTGAATGTGTTTTGTGTTGTCTCCTCCGTCAATCATCATGTGATATTTTTATCTTTGTTTGGGAGTTGGGATTTGATTAGATATGCTGTTGTTATAAACTGCTTTGGGTCACGGAAATGCACTTCATTTAGTTTGAAATTTTTGTGCTACTATAGCATAAACATATTAGTTCTATTATAATAGATGCTTCAAAACTTATGTAAATATTATATTGAAAGATTAGCTTCAATATATAACCCTTATGGTGCAGCTCTAATCATATGGTGTTTTAATTTGTCCATGTGTACATAAATAAATGATCATTATCTTTGATTATTTGATTTGTCATTCAAACTACGTTTAGTTGTGATTTTTGTCAATTAAATTTTATTCAGGGATTTCTTAAGTCAGAATGTCATCATTCTTAGGAATATGTAATTTGTGTGCTTATTTCCATTAAATATGCCATTATTATATCATTTTACTTGAGTTTTTTAATATATAATTAAATTAACATAAATCATATTTTGTCATTTCAACAGAAATCATGCATTTGCTTTAAAACAGAATAAATAAATAATAAATTATTTAGTTCATATTACTTATTCTACTTCATCATAATATGCTCTCTCATTTCAAAACAGTTACAAACAAACAAAAATTTTTGAAGTAATAGTGCAATTGAAAAAAAAATAATTTTATAATTAAAGACACAAAAACATTTCTATATTAAAATTGAAAATTTAATTTTTTCTTTAACTGAAAAATATTTGTTGAATTTAGATTATTTTGCAGAAATCAATTGCAGTATCTTCCTGCTTGAATTTAATTAACAAATTATTTCAAAGTTCTTCATATAAATATACAGGGTGTAGACAATCATAATATTTACATAATAAACCATATCTTGTTTCTGCTGTGAATTAGCTAAAAGTGCATAAGAGTATAGGTAGTCAGTAGTGGGGATTTGATGGTGACTATGCCATTGAATAACCCACTACTGATTATGTATATTCTTGTGCACTTTTAATTTGTATCAGAAGTAAATATAGCCAGGTCCAGTTTTGTCTATACCCTATAAATAATAATTTATTAATCAAATAAGAACATTTTAATTGGTAATTAATTTAATTAACAAAACTCTATTAAATTACATTTAATGCTACATATAATAATTTTTTGTTCATCTATGATATTTAGTACATATATTTTATGACTATTTTAAAAAGTTTAATTATATATTTTTTTTAAATTCAAACTTTTGCTTATTCAATACTAGTAATAAATTGTGCAAGTTTCGATTATATTTGTTTTTGAATACGTGACATTTAGAGTATTATAAAATATAAAATATGATGTATATATTCTATATAATAATGCTGATAATATTTTTTAAATTTTTTGATATTAAATACTCAGTCTGACAGTAATAAAATAGGGTCTAACTTTCATACAACAATTTGCCTCCGGAAAACAGAATTTATTAAACGTAAAATGCATCAAAAGTAAAAAGAAAACACACAGCATACTGAATGATGTATTTGTATTAATAACAAAATGAACAGATGCATTTTCCATAGAGAAATCAAGCAGAAGGTATAGTATCTTTTTTTATTGACTTTGAGAAAAAATATGATTATACAAAAAACAAAAATACAGGCCATGATTAATGACTCTTTTTCATTATTCTTTACTTCACAACTGGGTGGATAGGTAGACACTGAGCATCTTTAACATCATTCTTTATTCAGGAATATCTTACACACCATGTGTTTTGGGCATACTCCCCTCTCCTGTTGGCTTTTTTCTTTAAGACATTTAGTAAAGAGGGCTAACTAATATATGTACTTTAAAAAAAAAGGATGTATATTAGTTAGCCCTCTTTACTAAATGTTCTTAAAGAAAAAAGCCGACAGGAGAGGGCATATGCCCGAAACACATATCAGTGTGTAAGATATTCCTGAATAAAGAATGATGTTAAAGATGCCCAGTATCTACCTATACACCTAGTTGTGAAGTAAAGAATAATTAAAAGAAGACACAGTTTCAGAATAAATTGACTCTTTTTCAACACAAATAATACATTGTTATTTTATTTTCAATGAACAATTTTAATTTAATTTATATAATCAAAAATTTCATGCAGAACATTTCTAACCAAAGTCATTATGGACTCTATTTGTAAGAACCAGGGCAAAAACTCAACGAGTTTCAGGATTATACCATGACGGTATAGATTTCAAAGTCTCTGAATCCCCATCAGATTTGGTAAAAAGGAACTGTCTAGATCCACGATCCTCTTGACAGAAGACAAAGTCTCATTTCTTAGGGAGGTGAGGTGAACATTTGCTTGTTCTGCTTCTAATTGTTCATGGATCACCCTTGAAAATTTGTATTCCAAGGGAGCAATTGCCATAGTGAGGGGTTTTTTTCTTTCCCTTTAGGGCAGGGGTCGGAATTAGCAGCTCTTTGCATAGACATTTGCGGCTCTTCAGACATAAACTCCAATTTTACCTCACCTCATTTCACTGCAGCCTTATAACTTGAGTTTGAGATAGAGCTGCTGAACAAACTTCGACTCGTACGCCATCCGCACATGACCACACTCGCGTTGATC